CCCTCCATAAAGACCGTGACGGTCCCTACCTCAGGCATAGGGTCTATGACCATGGCAGCAATGAGAGCTCTCAACTTTTTGTACATATGCCACCTGGCTTGCAGCTGGCGCCTTGGCGACACGCCAAAAACCGCGACCAGTTACGGTGTTACTTGGTTTGGCGGTGCATACTGCCGGGTCATCTGAACTTTCAGATCCGCCCATGTGGGAAAAGCATCTTGCAGTGATGCACCACATGTGAACGCCCACTGTTTGGCTAAGCCACCTAACTTTCCCGTGGCAAATCTCGTACGGTTTATAGGTGATGTTGGTTATAAACATAGCCGACTCAACGTGTCGGAACTACAGCATAAGGTTGTGCACCCTTCTTTGCCGTCAAACTTGTCGACTTCCATTTGAATGGGTTTTAATCTGCTGACCACTTCTTGCGCCATAGTCTCCATGGGCGAAGGCGCGAAAGAAGACATCTGATTCTTTTCATTGCTCCGCAAGAGCGTTATTATATACTTTAATCGTAAGAGAACCTTTTCTTCGCCTTGGGCGATAAACTATCCAATATTCTTAGGTCCAAGAATAGGAGCAGCTTTTGCAACCCTTCCTGTTGAGCTTAATCACAGACATCTCTTCTATGTCGATTCTCACAGAGAAGTAGTCGCAAACCCAGGTGCGGGATTGGCTGCAAGTGTTACCATGTGTAGCAGAGATACCGTAGCAAAGCTGCTTATGCACTTAGTGCAGAGAAAGGCAAACTCTAGTATCTTTTCGTCTTGGGGTTAACAACCTTCATAAGGCTAGCTACAACCTTGTACTATCTGGTTTGCATCGATCACGTCTCCAAGAGGCTATTTTTCAAGACACACTATATTCTTTCAGGGACTAATTACAGCAACTAATACTATACAGATCAGGTTCCAAAATGATTTATTTTATTTTTGTCGTCTTGCACTACTTATAGACGTACCTACTCTAATACTAAATGCTAGTAACTGCATTGAACTAGCTCTGTAACCTTCTTACTACATACACATATGTATCCATAGTACTTAAAGTACTATTATAATCACATGGTATCTCTACGACGATGTGAACTCATTGTATCTTAGCTGCGCTTACACCATAGAGGATGCAAACCCCCATTGTCCCCAAAGTACAGCCCCCATGTATGTAAAATACCTCTGATCTATAACCCCGTTACAGATTTTAAAAAGGAACGTGAGAATTACGGGTCTCATTTTAACTCAAATACAATCAGCTAGACAAGCTAGCAGATTTAAATATGGGATCACCGTGGATTAAAATAGAAAGCGTTGGAGACGCGTCGAATTGCAAAAATTCAAGCACGGCTTATTTAAACACGCCCACATGAGCAATTTTTGCTAACGAATGACACATTTCCTCCAAATCGCACATGTAATACGTGTATAAATTAATCGAATCTCGCTGAAGCTCAATCGGGAAGGTCTAGGGGTTGAAAGGCAATACCTGGTTGCGCTAAAGTTAAGCCTTCGGATCTTAGTGATTCGGTTTGCTAGTTCACCGATAAGACAGCCCGTATTTATGGTGCTGGAATCAAGCTGTCTATGGCTGACGAGTGGGCTGTCCTTAAGTATGAAAAAATATACACAGCAAACATATATAACAATGTACTAAGTGGTTTTGCTGCTTCAATCTAGAGCTGCGTTTGCGCGGTTCCTTTTTTTGAGTAGCAAGCTGTGCTATCGAAAAGGTATACGTAAAAAGCATACAATTTTCAACATACACTACCACACAAATTGTTACTCTTTGGTTCTGATTGTGGCCCTGGTCTTAAATACTAAATTATTCCTTGAGGGCCTTGGTAGATTGCTTGAACCCATTTTTAGCACTAGAAATTCAAGCCGCAGGTACCTTGCAATCGTGACTATTTGAAGAAGATCAAGCACTGTTACTAGCTTGAAAAAGCTCTTAACTCAATGCAACCCAGAGCTCAACTTCCAATGATGGTTATCCGATGAAAAAAGTGAAGTGCAGAAAGACGTCAGCGAGATTGTGTTTTCACCAGACCCACTATATACTAATGCCGCACAATAGGCATCACACTTGCCTAATGTTCTAGCTGCATATGTCAGTACAAACTTTTCATGAGTCAATTAAGGTAGTAGAAGATGAAAAAAATAAGTATGTTCAAAAACGTATAGCGAAAATAATACCACTACTTCGATGTTCAACTCCTTCATACCCGTTCACGTATCCGGTTTTTTCCTGTTGCTCGTAAAAATTCATCGTAATTCTTTCTTACCTTGTCAGAGATTTCCTTCAATTTGCCGTTGGGTACTAAAAGATCATTAAATAAAAAGAATAATTCCTCGTATCCAGGAGTTTTTTGCCACGTCATAAATTGTACTCTTTCAAGCAAACTTGCTTTGGCTGCCTCCGTAAGTTTCCAATTTTCAATTCCTATGGCAACCCTAAACAAGCCGTAGACATTTACAGCGTCTATGTATTCATGCTCCGTAACTGTAGAAGGAGTTGCCGCATCATTACCTGCAGCCATCGGGAAGGAGTGTTCGTTGTATTTTGCCATTTTTTTTAGAAGTTACCTCCTCAGGTTCAAATTTCCTTTTCAACGAAGGTATGGAATTTTTGGCAATCTTAACTATAGCCGACTCCGCGTCAGAAATGAGGCTCGCGGTTACCGGAGGAGTTGCCGCATCATTACCTGCAGCCATCGGGAAGGAGTGTTCGTTGTATTTTTGCCATATATTTAGAAGTTACCTCCTCAGGTTCAAATTTCCTTTTCAACGAAGGTATGGAATTTTCGGCAATCTTAACTATAGGCGACTCCGCGTCAGAAATGAGGCTCGTGGTTGCCCTCTCTTCAACTTCATTGATAGGGCTGCTCGTTGCGACTGTCACGCTAGACTCCAGGTGCCGCTTCACAGCAACACTGTCATGAGGTGAGTTCAGCTTACCCGTCATCACATCATCATGATTAGATTTTGCGGCGGTCCCTACAGAGCAAAACCCAAGGATCAAGACAACGAGACACACCTTTGCATGGAAAAACTGGGCTGTGCCGGTGAATGGCATTTTTGTAACTTGAAAAGATGCGTGAGGCTCGAAGCAGAATCGAATGTGATGAGGTTGAGACCTGAAGTGTCACCTCAGCGTAATTTATTTGGATTATCCGGACAATCTAATCTTTATTCTGTAGCCGCGCTGAATGCTCTAGATTCTTGTTCTACCGTATTGACGCTTTCTACTGAAGTCAGATGCTTGAACCCGCTTTATCAGAGAAGGTTGGGGACAGTTTCTTTGAAAAGGCACCGGATCAGATTCAAAGCGTAGCTTCTATTGGTGGGACTAGCCAAAAGCTCGACGGGATTTGATGCAAATTTTCGTTTTGTGAACTGTCTGTGAATCGGTCCAGCCGAATAAACAAATCATACTGCTGCAGTGTCACATGCGGGTCACAAAATCGAGTACTCAGTAGATTCCTGGTCTGCAACAACGCCTCTTGCACTTTTGTGCGAATAATGGCCAGTCCATGGCCATCATGAAGTTGCTGAGTGCGCGTAAGAGTGAAAAAGTTATCGTGTTTGTTTATGATGCTGTTTAAGTTCCTTCATTATGAAGGGCCTAGCTTTCACGGAATTTGACCACTATAATGTCATTCTCAATTGGTAAAACCTCACGTTTGCTTGCTATCGTCTGATGCCGTGGCATATGCAGAAAGCTCACATAATCGTTCTTTCTGCAGCAGAGACGGAATATCGCTCTGTCGTACTCTCTATATGCGCCGGTAGTCTGCTTGAAAATTCTGCATTGAAATTCTCTAGCACAGAAGCTAACCTTACTCGTGAGAATGTATGAATTTAGCGCTACTGTCATGGATGGTTGTAGCACATCCAGTTTATGCAACCTTTCGTGTAGGATTTGGAATAGCGACACGGACTCACTGTCGCCTTTTCGTTGCCGGCTGACATGTCTAAAAGGTGCTTTCAAGCAAAAGAAAACAACTTTTTGAAGCTTACTATGGTTATTAGCTATGTATAAAATACGAGTCCAACGTACTCTTGACATGCATATCTGGCCTCTGGCCAAAGCAACAGACACGTTAACACACGTGGCATCAACGAGGTGCTTTGTTTGTTATGACGCGCCGGGTCGTTAATACACCGTGATTACCAGCTCTTGGCCCCAAGCGGCTGCAGCGTGTGCAGGATCTTCTGCAGGTTGGCTCATCACTCCTGCAACGAGACGAACTGAATCTTTTCGGAAGCCATGCTCCAGCACGTCGAAAGATGCCGACATTGGTAGCCATTGGGTTGGTATGGCGGCCATCAAACAGGTGTCGTTTAAAGAATCATTGATTATTGGTGAACAGAAACTACACCATTGGCCGTATCGTAGTACATGCATGAGTGTACTCTCGAAGCTATCAACGTTTACCAGCCGCTTCATTCCTCAGTACACAATTGGAATGTCTTCTGGCTAGATATTGAGCCACGCACTAAGTCTTCACTGCTTACGTTTCTATGATCATCCTATGGTTGCCATGAAGGTCTGTAGCCATATTGCAAGTATGTAGATTGTGGCCATTTTACTGTGTTATTGTAGCCTGTCAAGGTTTGTTAAGGTGTAAGTTTGTCACGCCTGCTAACTTACACCTTCTATTGCAGCATTCTCTTCGACCAGGTCCTGGATGTCTGCGTTCGTGATAGCTCCGTTTAGTCTCTATTAAAGCTTCATGCAGCACCTCTCGCTTCAAACCCGATCGCATCCATGAGACACCATTCTGGAGCTATCGGTATTATGGTGCAGAGAATACCATCTTACCAATGAAGATTAGCACCGTCAATCTCTCGTATGCGGTTTCTGGACTGTGAACTCTTCGCATCTTCCACTTTCCCGCCTTGGAAACTCTGCTCGCAGACTCTATCCTTCATAAAAGCGTAGCTTCTGCAGCTTTTCAGTCATGTTCGCATACAATATCAGCAACTTGGCATCGATGCTTCGTCTTTTACTGAGCATTTACTTACCAAAGCTCAAGCCTTCTTCGAGTTTGGTATTGTGCTGGCCATTATTAGCTCTTTAATATTGTTCCAGTTAAATGGTGACAGAGCCGAAGACTACATGCTAGACAAGTTTAAGGAAGATAAAGAAAAGGAAGGGTTGTTGGAGAAGATGGTCATTCCATCGCCACTACGCACACCAAAGCTTGTTGGCAACTGCAATGAGATTGACATGGTGTACGACTACTCAGACAAAGACGATATCATTGTAGATATCACGTCTCCGCCGACAGTCACGAAGAATACGGCATTATTGCTGTTGAAGGCTAAAACGGCAGAAAAGTTGGACTTAGAGCGTCAGCAGCGCTTACAGGACGCAGACGATGACGAAGAAGGCTATATGACCCATCTCGATGCCAAGTGTCTCTGTTTCCGCACCAAGCACGTGCCGTACCTTTTGTTCTTGTCGGATTTTATCGTTAACAATGGCGCTGGCATGACGATCAATTTTTTCCCGCTCTGATTCAAGGAGGAATATGAATCACGCCGATCCACGTGTGCGTGCTCTTTGTGAGTTAGCCATTCGTTGTCATGATCCTGTTATGCCTTCACAGCGCTTCTCAAAGGCGTGCGGCCGCATCCCAACTATTGCGTCAAAGCGACAACGTTTACTGAGTGACTGTTTTCCTCGGCGTAAGATCAAACGATGGATCTACAAATCGGGCTCTTCCTGACTTGTTATTTTAATGCGCTGGTCACAGCCTTTGCATCAGTCAACATTGATTACCACAGACTACTCGTGCACGCTAAAGGTCTTGTTAGTGTTATCTTGGTCAGGCAGGTAGTTGCTTGGAGGCTCTTTAACCGATCCGTACGTTACTGCATTGGATATATCAGCACGTCGCGTATCTACTGTGCGCTGGTCCGGGCTTGGAAATAATCCTATTACTGCACACAATCCCACGCCATTAAAAGATAGAGCTACTTATCTGCATCATCAAATTTATGGAATAGTGCAAAGCAATGCCCAATCTACATGATCCTTTAAAAGTTATTCCTCGTGTCTACAGTTACCTGAGCTGCTGTGTCATGTCGCTGAAACGTGCAGTTCGGTTGGGCGCCGAGCTTTCGGCATTCTCCATTTCAGTGAGCGTTTTGACATGGCACAGTACGCGGCGTTCGTACTAGCTAGTTCCTGTTGCATAATGTCATTTTTCACTGGAACAGCACATCTTGGTCTACAATACTCAACTTGCGGACTACTTTGTAGGCATGGCCCTCGAAACCTAATTTTGCGCGATCAGTCGCTTGAGGGTTGACCAATCGGAGCAGTACCAGTGATGCAGACACTCTCTCTTTTTTCAAAACTTCGTGCAATTTGATTGAGGTCGAGCGCTTTGCCGGTGATCGCATCAACTTATGGGCGAGTACGTCACGCCATGGGCCTTTTTCCTCGTTGCCGTTCAAATACTTGGTGGACTATCTGGGATTCCTCATCGTCATCAATGCGATCGCTGGACTGAAAGCCGTTTTGCACCAAGTGCGCGACCTCGTACACTTTGCGCCTAAGCATAGAAAGGCATCCTCTCTCTGACGGTAGAGGAAAGAAGGTCGAAATGCTCATGGGTTCGCAGGTACAAAGACGAGATAAAGCGAAAACCAATCGTTAATCATTGCACCGGACCAAGTGTGATATCCAAGTACAGGCTAGGTGATGTTGACTTTGATCTCGTATGCTAGTACCAGAGCGTATCCGACTCTATCCAAGCACACGACTGACCACTTAAGCTACTAATGACTTCTTTCGACTCATCGGTGTTCAATTACTATGCCGAAAATAAGACTTCCTGTTGGTGATTATGCTCGTAAAATGAACTGCACCACGACTGCTTTGTCTATTAAGTAAATAATTACCTGAATGTGCTGCGGCCGAGCCAATGTATGTATGCGAACGCTTTACGCAAGCCGTCTTGCCACTAAAATGGCTCAACTCTCGCATGCGTCAGGTTATCTTTCCTTCTCTACATTCTATCTACTCTCGCCAGGGTCCATTAAGCGGCACGCGCTATAAGTGCCGCGCTGAAGGCCGTCCAGACTGCACGATCCTGTGTACATTGGCGAAGGAGGTACATGTAACGGGGGTACAAGATTTGTGTATTTTACATACACACTTGCCACATCAATGTGGTGTGGCTTTACCTTGGGTACAAAAGTAGGTGATGTGAAGTACGAAGGGTGGCATCGTGGCAGAGAGCCACGTGGTCACTATACTCATTTATAGTATAGTGAGTATGCATGTTTGCATAATAATAAAAGGCTAAAGAGACAGTAATAGTGACTAGCACTAAGTATAGAATAGGTGCTTCTATATTTAGTGTTAGAAGATAAAACTAAATATAAATCAGTTTCTAACCTGCTCTGTAAGCTTTACAACTTAAGCGTTCGATTTCTTTGAAAGGAATCAGTTTTTTTTTTTGGTACTAATCTCTCTGAGACTCGGTTGTTAATACCGATAGGCACAAGCTTACGAGCTAGCCTAGGAGGTTTAAGCACCCTAAGACGTAAACGCTCTCTGAGCTTGTCTTCCTTTGCACATAGTGCATACGAAGCTTTGCTATAGTAATTTGACTACTTCTTCTGCACACAGTGCATCTGAACATAGTGCATAAGTAGCGTAGCTACAGTAGCTCGAGTACACCTGGTAGTGTAACGGGGCGAGAGCTCCGTTACGTAGCCTACACTAAAGGTCTACGAGGAAGCGTAAGCAGCACGCAATTTACTTGCATGCTTAGGACCAAATTAAACTCTATTCATTATTATTAAGGTTAGATGCAAAATCCTAAACCTTCTGCAAACCACCCTAATACGTGCTAAATAATCATTGGGTGAAATGGGGCTGAAACCTACTTTCAACTAATCAAATTATGGAACTAAAAGATACGCTATTCCCCAAAAATAAGGTGTCATATCTTTTTCTTTTCCTACTTTATGTAATATTGTCAATATTATCTACCTAATCATGCATAAAAATGGGACCGTTATGATTGCCATATCGTCCTATGGCGTGTAACGATACGACCCCGTTACACCACCCCCCACTCAAAATGACAAGTACTATAAGGAAGGGACCAAAAAAGCACAGCAGACACACACTGCGTAACTTGCACTACTCCACTGAGTCGCCAACCAGCTTCGTCACCGCACGAAGACCTGGCAGTGCCTCCGACAACCTTCAATCCGCCGAGAAGACACGTAGATACCTTGCAAGTATAAACCATTTATGACTGCAGTGGTATCCAGCAATCACGTGGAGACGAGGTCATGGCCGATATGTGGCAAAGGTGGAGAGCAACGCGTAGGAAACCCGTCACGGCTACCCTAACCGTGACCCAAAACTCGCATGATGAATCATGGACTGCGTTCGTGCGACGCTGGAACTCGGAACCACATTTCGGCGCATTATTACCATATTGAGAGGAACAGCGACGGAAGTATGGACTGTCTGACTTGCGTGAGAAGGTGTGTACAATGTCTTGAAACGCTGGACGGCTACGTGAGAAGGCGCGAGGGATGTCGATTTTGTCGCGGTGAGCAAGCTCCAACCCGCGACGAGTGGGAGCCAACTCTTGCGCAATAACCAATGACGGAATAAGAGCGTCCGTGGATAGGGCGCTATAAACGTGCTGTCTCGAATTATAATCATGTACTTCTGCTCGGTCGTGCACGTACTAGATCGACACGTAACTCACGTTTACGCTCGCAGTCTTCAAGTCCTCGACCGCGAGAACCACCACGTTCGCCTCGGCCTCGTGCGCCTTCACCACGTCTGGAGCGCCAGCGAGAAGAATGGAGCGAGGATCCCACGAATCGCTCGTGGAAGGGATACCAAGCCAGCGGACGCGATATTGACACCCGTCCGAGATCTCCGTGAGACGGCCATGACTGGAGGCGCGGTGATTCAAGGTCGATGGGTCACGATACTCGAGAATCCTATCGACAATCCAGCGCGGATTCCCGGCGATATCAATCAGCGGGGGAGGGCCATCGAGGAGGAAGTGTGCATGAGGTGTCTGCGAGTCTAAAGGGGTCTGACATGACCGAGTCTCTCGCAAAGGATCTCCGCGAGTATCAACAGCGCGTTGGGTTTGTTGAATATGACGCGGAGAGGCGAGGGAACTGGCTGAGCTTGCTGACTCGCGAGTGGAGTAGGTATCTTCGACGGTAGCTGGATTGGCGGCTCTCTTGGAACATTCGGAACAGTCAAGCGCGGCTCTTCGGAAAGACAACACGGTGTTGCGAGGGGACCGTCAACCGGATCCTCCAAGGAAGCCAAAGCACCTCAAGCCATGCTATGCTCCTGCGCAGGGATCTTCTGATTAGTCGGGAGGAGGGCCGGCCAGTAGCGTTTGAGTCGCCCGAAATAAAACGTTGGGTGACGTCGATATCAAGTGTGTAGGCATTACCCATAACATTGACGACCTTGAATGGTCCAATATAGCGCAGTGACAGTTTGTTTGCACTGAGGTTTGTCACAGATGCCTTTGAATGCCTGTCGTGGATAACAATACGGAGTCACCCACGGAGAACTTTAATAGGTTCTTGCGTTCGTGTTGATCCGCAGACGTTTTCTGTTTGTCAACCGCGCTCGCGAGCGCATCAAGAAGAAATCGTGCAACTGACTGTCTTTGTCCACAAATGCGTCGATAGCCGCCGATTAAGTGAGACAAGCACTCGGCGGCGAAGCACTACGACTCAAGGGATCGATCGACGGACTGTTGGACGACGAAGGTAATGGAAACGCACGACACGTAGGAGTAATCAAAGCTTCGCTAGACCATTCTGTAGCTTCATGTACCGACAACGGAGTCAGCTTACGCTGGCAAGCAGCGTGAGTCATTGCCACATTAAGCGACGCCGGGGAAGGCAAGACGTCATCTTGCGATCCGCAGCGCTTGATGCTGCGGACTTCGTCAACTCCAGAACTCCTGCGGTTTCTCCCTCAACAAGAGTAGAATTATCCTGCAAACCAAGAAGTACAGGCACGCGTGGATGACGCGCGCTATTGACGAAGAAGGGGGTCAATCCCGTTGAAGCGTGAACGGCGTTATTTAATGCAAACTATGCAGAGGAAAGCACTCCATGACTCTTATGACGTGGCATAACTTTACAGCACGTCTTCCAATACGCGGTTTGCACGTTCAGTCTGGCCGTCTATTTCGGGTGCGCCGCAGTAGACATTAACAATCTGGTACTTAGTAACTCGAACAGCCGCGACCAAAAGGCGGCTGTGAACCGGGGATCACGATCCGAAACATTTGTAGTGGCAATCCCATGGTGCCGGAAGACCATATCCAAGAAGAGTGTCGCCGTATCTGTTGCAGTTATTGATGCGGCGACCGGAGCTAGATGCACCATCTTGCTGAACCGGTAAACGACGACGAAGATACCTGCGCGTCTTCTAGAAGGCCAAATATAAAGTCCATGCGAATTGATCGCCACGCCTCGGGGAGATGGGTAGTGGAG